ATCGTACGGCTGGGAATCGTTGCAGTACCGCCACGAGCCCCTCTCGCTCACGGACTCGAGCGTAGCCAACGCACCCGACCCTCCAGTGGACTCGAATCCCACCCATGCCCAGGGCCTACACCATAAAACTGTAGGCGCGGCCGGAGCAGATGCGCTGCCACCAACATTACCTCCAGACCCAACCAAACACCCGCGACACACACCTCCCGACAAAGTGGTGCCGGACGGGCAGCATCAAGGTGGATCGCGAGGGATCGCAATGGTGATCCATCCAGGCGTTCTTGCGTCGGCATATGCCAGCATCCGATGGCTTCGCCATGACTTGAACTGCTCGCTGCCTCTCGAAGTCTGGTTCAAGCCGGACGAAATGGCACGTACCCATCCTGTTCTCGTGGCCCTCGTTTCGGCCTTTCACCACACCCCCCGCGAGATCCACCATCCTTTGGCCACACGCTTCTTTTACCAAGCCATACGCTCTCTTCTATAGCGCATTCGACAACGTCCTCCTCGTCGACTGCGACAACTTTGCCGTGCGGAACCCCGAGTTTCTCTTTGACGAGCCCGCGTTCCTTGCCACCGGGGCGCTCTTCTGGCCGGTGCCGTATTGCCATGCGATCGAATCATGGAGTTCCGTCTCTCACGTGTGTTCGATTGGGTTTGCAGGACTACTAGAAGCCCGACAACTCGTGCTTTGGAATCGATGGTTACAGCATGCTGTGGAACCTCACTGGACTCGACTTTGTCGACATGTTTGAGCAAGAGTCTGGGCAGGTCGCCGTCAACAAACGCGCCAGCGACAAGGCTCTGCACGTGCTCATGTTTTACGCCTTTCGGACCCCCTCGGTACGTCATGCATGATCGTCGACCGAGGCCACACGACGCCCTAGGATTCTCTCCGACTTCGGCTTGGTGTATGGGGACAAGGACCTGTACCGACTCGCGTGGCTCAAAGCGGGCGCGCCGTTCCACATGATCGAGCGGCCTCCCGGCAGCCTCAGGCGCCGCAACCACCAGACTGGCGGCGCGTTCGGCGGCAAATCCAAGGTGCAGTATGCGCCAGACGGGACTGTGCTCTTTTTACATCGCAACTCGGACAAGCTGACGGGTTGCGTCGGCGACAGCTTGTCCTGGGGCGTCCTCCAGGAATTTCGATACCTGTATCGTCCAGCTACTCTGCTCGGTCTCCTTAGTGACAGTGCTAGGGACGTCCACATTGCTAACTATCGACCATCGTCTTACGTCGTAGGAGATGCCAACTGCTTTGGCCACTCGGACAACTTGGTCGACACGTACACGGAGACGGACGTCAGTACGACGTGGACTGGCCGAGTCGACGCTCATGTTGTACGCACGTGAAGGAAATTGGATTCAGCACCCTCACGGTCCGGGAAACTCTCGGGATTGTCACTGCAGCCTCAACTGGCGTGGGGTAGGATGTCCCCAAGACAATCCACTGAATCCTCTCGACGACATGTTTGCCAAACCCTTGATCGGGTTGCTGCGTCGTCAGCGCAACACGACGGGGGATCCCATCTCGACCTAACCCAAGGAACATGGTGGAGTAGCACCCAGGTCACATTGTGCCTTTGGAGGGAATGGATTCGCTCGCGCACGTCAACGCCGGCAGAAAAATACACGTTGACAAGCGGCGCACGCCTTTGTCATATCGTGCGCTGCACCAGGCATACGAATGACCCGACGACCTTACTCCTGCTTTCTGTACACGCCGCCGTGGCTTTAAAAGTCAACTTAATCGATCGTTCACCGTTGAATACCCGGACGCAGGTTACGTTTCGCTATGGCAGACCGAGTGGGTAGTGGTCGTTCGCGTAATTTCTGTGTGTCCGGTACTACAGTGTGAGCGCAAATGCTTACCTAGCCATGGCAGCTCTGCGGCCACAATGCCCGGCGGACGGAATCAACGGCGTGGCGCCAAAGGTGCTGGCGCGAGGGTCCCGTTCGTGGCGGTGGCTTCAACGTTGAAGTACAGGCCGATACAGTGAACCCCGGAAAAAGCCGACACCCCCAAAAAAGCCGATCACTTCCAAAATATGATCTGTTTTTAATAAGTTCTACATCCTGCATATTTCAACAATTGTCATTCTTTTTGACCAGTTGTGGTGCAGAGAAAAGAAAAACTGTGATTGACTGAATGAAATTTTTCTAGTTATAGCCAATCAAGTTGGACTAGCTCATGCAATTTAAATAGATAGATTTTATATTAATACTTCCTCCATGCATTTTCAGGATGAAACCATGTCGGCGTTTTCCAGGGTTCACTGTACGTACATTCAATGTACGATGGTGTACGAGATACATTTGGAATTGTGGTCATTTTTGCAGCGATGTTTGGGCGAGTCGTGCGAGCGTCGAGCACGTCCCGCCTCGCCGCGCCGTGGACGCGAACGTTTGCAAAGAAGGCAGCGAAAGGTGCATGCGTCCTGATCATTCCTTGCTTATGGAATGCATGTCTGCCTTTGTAGGTAGTAAAGCCGCCGAGCCCGTGACGGAGGCGCTTGGCGACGTAGCAAAGAAGACGCATGAGGAAGTGAAAAAGAACATGCGCGGAGCCGTTGCCAACTACATCAAGGTCTTGGCGGCCATGCGCCCGGGACAAGCGGATGCTGGCATCTTCGACTCGCTTATGGTGTCGGCGTACGGTCAAATGGCGTCGTTAAGTCAATTGGCTCAAGTGTCGGTCGTCGGGCCGACGGAACTTGCTGTCTCTGTCTACGATCCATCGGTAGGGTTGCCGCATATGATAAATCGGCATCGTTTTCATGTTGCCGCGTAGCTCTTGACGGATATTCGTTCCGGCATTGAAGGGCTGAACCCGTCGTACTCGGTGCAACCGAATGGAACGACGCTGTCCGTTCGGTTCCTAAAGTAAGCAGCAGCCCCCAAGCCCAACTGACGATTCGCTCTAGAATGACCAAGGAAACCCGCGACGAACTGGTCAAGGCCGCCAAGAAACAAGCGGAGGCTGCACGGCAGCACGTCCGTCGCGTCCGTCAAGATGGCATGAATGAGATCAAGAAGCTCAAGGACTCGATCTCAGAAGACGATATCAAGGTCGAACAAGACAAGGTAACGTGCATGCTTGTATCCAGTGGACGCTTCGCTGAGTCCACATCTAGATCCAAAAGCTCACGGACGATCACATCTCCGAAATTTCGCGCCTCCTGGCGTCCAAGGAAAAGGACTTAACAGTGATCTAAGCAAGCGTGCACCGCCACGTCACTTTCGAACGGCGACATGTCTGCCGCACACGTCCCGCAAGTGGTGCCAACGGAGCTTGGAACGTTGCTTGCGATCGTTTTCGTGTTGTAGAAAGGTGGCGCCTCACTCAGATGGATCTCGTATGGAAGGGAATGCGAAATACTGAAGGCGAACAGCCGAACCAGGTCATTCCGAGCAGGAAGGCCGGCGCATTTCTCAACGCCGACGTGAGGCAAACGTTTGCTCTGTCGTGCCACGTGGCCATGAAGGATCTCGCCCCCTTTACGTGTACATCCATCATTCTCCAAAATCAAGGCATGCCTTGTTCCACACGTTACAAAATCGACCACTCATTGCGAACTTTGACCGCGGCCTGGCGCACGGTGCGCTTTCGGTCGTCGAGGGGCCCGAGAAGGCCTTTGATCACGCGCTCCTTGTGCGGATGTATGAGCTCGTACTTGGACTTGGCGAGGCCGCTCAGGCACGCGAGCGCGGCCACTCGGTCCTTGACGGCGACACTACCACCGTGCAACTCACGCATCAGAGAGAGATACACTAGCAGCGATGCAATTCTCACCAGTGCTCTGCCTGCCACAACAGGCCTGGAAAAACTTGGTTGAGGTAGCCGTATACGAGCTGCGGATCGTGCTCAAAACACATCTACGGCAGCGACCTCATGACTATCCATGCTCTCACTCGGTTCCCAACGTTACCTCAAACGTGACGAGCGCGGGGTGACCAACGAGCGCGGCGTACGGTTGTTCCTTCTGGTTGAGCGCGTCGACAGCGAGGGGCAAGATGTCGTGGACGTGCGGCAGCAGGATCGCGTGGGGCGTATGCGCCACAACGAGGAGGGTTACCACTCGCTTTTCCATGTTCATGCCTTCTTTCGACGACAGAAGCGGGAAAAGCAGCGAGAACGAGCGCTGGCGATGGACAGGCTGCAGAGCCGACGACCCATGAATTCGACAAGAACAAAACATGGATGGGGACAACGTACACTGATGATGGCGTGGTTGACAGAGCCCAACACGTCAGGGAAATCTTGCACAATCAAATGAAACCCTTGCGCGACGTGGATCTTGAGCTCGTCCACAGACAGGAGCGCCCACAAAAAATTAAACACGATCGGCACGTACGTTGCGTGGCCTCGAAGCACGATCGCCTTTGTCACGTGCAGATACAATTGCAGCGCCGAGAGCCGTCGATCGATGGGCTGGTCGGCGTCGTGCACCACGGCGGCAACGGGGTCGGCTTGTTGATCGGTCGGTCGTTTGTTTGAAGTGACGTGATCGAGGTAGTGCTGGAGCAGCGCATCGTCCGGCATGGCATTGAAGAGCGACGCAATCGACTTCAAAGCACACGTTCGCGCGGCGTGTTGCACCGCCGACGTGGCAACGCCTTGCGCCAGCTCCAACAGCAACGGTACCAACGTCGGCAGCGACGGTGCGATCGTGGCCAAGGCGGCACCGGACGAGTACAGCACTGCGCCCAAAAGCGGCATCAGTTGGAGGGCCGCTTCGGACGCATGGGCCTGTAGCGGGGATATATCGACCTAGAATCCCATGGCAGTGAACTTTACGAAGCCATCATCGACAACGAAAGGCAGTACCGCCAAGAAGAGCGACAATACGTATTGCAGGAGCGTTTCCTGGGCTTGGCTGGACCCGTGCTGCATGACGACACCGAGAATTGTCGCCGTCGGCGGCACCAGCGCCGCGGAGACCGCGTCCCCCACCGACACGTCATGTTGCTGGCGAACGTTGTGTACCACCGAGTCGACGAGCAATTGCACAAGCGGCGTGATTGTCGAATCGGTCGGCAACACGCACGCATCGACGCACTGGACATTCGATTGGTTCTGACGAACGATGCTGGCCACTGCCGCCACAATGTCCTTGGCGTATGGATGCATGTGAAGCGCTGCGCCGTGCGACGTCACACCGAGCGCGAGTTGACTCATCGGCAGCACCAGTGCCATGAACATGGACGGCTCCGTCGACAGCTCCAACATCACGGCCAAGACATCTTTGTGCGCGTCGTCCACCGACCGCTGCGACGAAGCGCATGCCTGCCACATTCACCATGAACCGATAAGTTCCGATAGATCGCAAGGAGAATGACAACCTGGGGGAATTCTACAACTTGCATGAGAGGAGGGAGACATCTCGCACGGACGTAATGCGCCAGCACAGTCGATTTGATCGCCGTCGATTTGAGGGCGGCAGTGGCTTCGGCGCGGACATCGGCGGCGGGGTGTGTGAGGACGATGGTTGTCCAGAGATCGACAAGGGAATGAACGGAAGGTTCATGGAGGACGGGGGATGGCGGACGGAGCACGATTTTCGCCAATCCTTGAAGGCAGAGACGTTGGGGGCGGGAGGAGGTCGAAGTCGCCGCGAGTTGCGTCGATGCAAAATGGAAGCTCTCGACAAGTGCTGTTAGGATCGACTCAACGTGGGCAAGGATGGGCGGTGTGACGTGGTCCACGTCGACATCGATGCAATCGAGAAGCCCCACGATACATGCCAGCGCGGCCTCCAATTGCGACGACGAGGGCGTCGAGCAGCACGACGACGAACAACTCGACGTGATTGCTGTCTTTGCTGCCTCGACGCGGCTGAGCAAGAAGGGCAAACTCGACTCTAGCACGAACGCGAGGCCGGCAGCGGACTGCGCGGCGACTCCCGTGAGGACGGTGGCGGCGCGCAAGCTCACCATCGAGTCCATGGCTTGATCTTGCATATCGCGAAGGGCTGTCTGCACCACGTGGACGACGAATTTGTTCCACGCCAGTGCCTGCATGCCGGGGAGGGAGCTGGGCGGCGACACAACCTTGGCGATCGTGCGCAACGTGGCGGTGGCCGCCGCGATGACACCCTGATTGTCGCCATGGAGAACATGGTGGTACACGGCCGTGGCAACGGGCTGGAATTGCGTCAGGAGGCGATTCAGAGGGTATTTGGTGCAGCAGAACGCGAGGGTATCCAGCATATCGATCGTCATGTCGGTGACAGTGGTGCGGCTCAGTTTGTCCAGCACCATGGGCACGACGTGCTTGGCCATCAAGTCGTGGCCGACAAATACGTTGCGCAAAGCGGCGACCAATTGCGCGGACGTGATGCCGTACGGGTCGTTTGGTGGCGGCTTGAACGTGATGGGAAAGTAGCACGACGTGATGTTGAAGAAGAGAAGGGCGAGGTCACGGTCCACGTGGCTCGGAAATGCCGCAAGCAACGAACTTGCGAGTTGCAGACACAAGAGCAAGTTGCGCGGGTCCTTTTCGCCGTCCATGGCCGCGAGGAAACCCTCCATGAGCACGCGGGGTCCATGCGCGTCCACGACGTTCAACCGCAAGACAATGCTCATCAGTTCAAAGCATTGCTTTCGCATTGCTTGGCCCAAAGTTGGGATTGGCGAAGGGAGAGAGAACAGCGATTCGAGAAGCAGAAGAATGTCGGCGGCGGGAACGGCGGCCGCATGGAACAATAGCAACGCCGACAATGCTTTCAAGCAAGGCCCGAGGCTTGGGGTGTCCGAGAGACGCTCCACGAAGAAGAAAAGAAGTAGGTGGGTCGTTTCAGGAGTGAGCTTGAGTTCGGGCAATCTCGTGAGCACCTCGGCCAGCAACAACGTCGCTCGTGACCTTCGCTTGTCCTGGACGTGCGTGAGTTGCGGTCCGAGCAGCGTAATCAGGTCTTGAATGGACGTGTTGCGGTGGATCTGCATAATAACGTTGTTCAAGTGAGTGGAGTGCTGGGACTCGCCATTCTCCGGGTCCACAAACCCTTCCACCGCCGGTTGCAGTGGAGCGTCGAGGCTGAACATGATGCCACCAAGAATGTGGTGGCCTCCAAGGCAGGGATACAAGAGATCATTGGCTGATTTATAGCCAATAGACCGTGTATCGTGAAGTATTATAACCAATCAAATGTCATGTACTGACATTTCATTGGATACAATAAACCTCATTTATACTCAATGAAAACCCGCTCTAGCTACGGCACCTGGTTGCCCGGCTCGAAACACGCGCAATGCAATCCGACATGGGCACGAGTTTGTAACAAGAGTCGAGCCCGCGCCGTGGACGGGTGGGAGACCGCGAGCATCTCGTTGCAGGACGTCGTACCACTGCTATACGTGTAAAGCGAGGTGATCTGAACCTGAACCAGGGCTCTTGTATTGGGGGAGAGCGCACGGCACAGCTGCGTGAAGTGTGGACAGCACGCTGTACAGTACTGTCAGTGCCCCCAGGTCAGCCGGATCCCTGAGCTCGTCTAACTCCACTCGGCACAGACAGCGCGCCACCACGTCCGCTACACTCTCCGTTCGTGATTCATGCCGCCGGTGGTGCGCAGCTGGATCTTCCTTCGCACCGCCTTGTGGTTCCAACATGTGAGACGTGATTACGTTAAATGGAGTTTTGTTGGCCTTTCCACAGGTTTTTCCACGTTCGGCGTAGGACGTTTTATTTGGGGAACAGGTTGAACTCGATGCGAGCAATAACATTCAGGTTGTCCAAAATGTCGCCCCGAATTTACAGACGATCCGCATTGCCACCATTCTGGCAAGTGCGTTGCAGTCCGGACGATGGTGCTGGGATGCCGAGCAAGGCATGCGGTACTCGCCGCCGCGTTCACTGCGATGGCGGACGCGGCGTCAGACCCTTCAAGGACTGCCCAGGCAAACGAATTCCCTCTCGTGGGTCAAACACACTTCAATCTTGTACGAGATACCATAGTCACATCTACCCACGAGTGGATCGAGGAGGAGACCGCTACGCCAACACTAGTCCCTCCCACAATCGCCACGAACGGTACGACAACCCTCGCTCCATTTACACCGATTCCTTCGGTTGTACCAACAGTGCCACTCATGCCAGCGAACTCCACCACACCAGCCCCGTCGACACCGACGACGATTGCACCGACCCGTTCACCGTTGACAGACCAACCTCCGCTCCCGTCAAACGTAACGACCGCAGTTCCAACGACACCGGCACCAAACCCAACGCAATCGTCGGCTCCCATGTCGCCGTTCCCGACGCTGTCAGACTCGACATCGCTACCCACGCAGATAACACTGCCGACATCGACCGCACCCACAGCAATACCAACGTCATCGCTTGCTGCTTTGACCACATCTGCACCGTCCAGCACTCCAATCTCTTCAGTACCCACGACAGCCCCATCTCGAACGACTTCGCCAGGACCGACAAACGACACAACGACGTCTACGCCGTACCCGACGACCATGCCATCCAACACCACCACAGCGGCTCCTGAATCCACCCCCACTGCTACTACGAACCCCGAGCCTTCAGCTGTCGTCCCACTTCCGTCGACGATTGCAGCTCATCCAACGCCCCATGTGCCGACTCCAACCATCACAACAGCCCAACCAACGACTCCAACACCGGCGACAACGCCTTCGAACCCAACATCGACGACGCCGTCAACCATCGCTCCAAGTACAAGTCCGCAAACAACCACCAATCCTCCTAGCCCAAGCTCGACTCCTGCGCTTTCGTCGATGTCGCCACCGACCACGAGCACCGCTGCTCCATCGCCGCAACCTACTACCCCTTCAACGATGTTACCTTTTCCACTGCCGACTCAACAGAACATCACTACTACCACATCTCCATCCCCAATCACTACTTCACCCAACACCACAATGCATCCGACCACCACGGCCCCCACTCCAAGCCCCACAAATTCCACTCTGGCCCCCACTCCAAGCCCCACGACTACCTCTGTGCCCCCTACTCCAAGCCCCACAAATTCTCCTCTGGCCCCCACTCCAAGCCCCACGGATTCCACCACGGCCCCCACTCCAAGCCCCACAAATTCCACTGTGATTCCCACTCCAAGCCCCACGACTACCTCTGTGCCCCCTACTCCAAGCCCCACAAATTCCACCGCGGCCCCTACTCCAAGCCCCACGGATTCCACTGTAATTCCCACTCCAAGCCCCACGACTTCCACCGCGGCCCCTACTTCAAGCCCCACGACTACCACCACGGCCCCCACTCCAAGCCCCACAAATTCCACT